CTAACAAGCAGCAACAACCTTTTTTCGGGCGGTTTCGCCAATTTGTACCCGATTCACGATGATCCGATCGGGAATAAATTTTGCTCGAGTGCGTACGCGTAGCTCTCAATTTCGGCTACGTGTGCCCCGGCTTCAGTGCTTCGGGCGGATTAATTCGCGCTACGTGTGGTCCCTTCGTGACTGCGGCGCGACTTCAAATTCGGCTTACGTGTGCCCCTTCGTGATCGGGCCGATTATAATTCGCGTGGCGATTTTACTCGCCCCGCGATCGGGCGATCAAAAATCCGCTGCGCTGTGCCGCCTAGCCATAACAAACTGTCGCTAGCTGCATAGATGGGCCGGTCTGTGTGCGCTAAGAGGTGAAAGACCACACGCGCGGCTTTTCAAGTCCGTGCTTCACTCACAGACAGCAGTGAGGAAGGATAGCAAAGAGAAGAGAGAGACGAGCGGCGCGCGTGAGGAGAGAGGCTAGGGGGAGAGAGAAAGAGAGAGGATGAGGCACAGAGAGAGGGAAATGGGAGAGAGAGAGATAGAGGAGAGCAAGCAGAGGCTAACGAGTAAAGCCGAGACGTAGGAGAGAGGCAGGGAGCGAGAGACAGAGGCAGAGCAGAAGAGGGGGAGGCAGAGAGAGAGAGAGCAGAGAGAGCAGAAGAGGGAGCGAGGGAGGACGAGAGAGAGGAGAGAGAGTTAGAGATAGAAAAGAGGGAGAGCAGGGAAAAGGAGAGAAGAGAGAGATAGAGACGAGAAAGGGAGAGGGCTGGGAGGCAGGAAGGCAGACTAGATAGAGAGGATAAGGAGAGAGCCGAGAGAAGAGAAGAGAACGAGAGAGAGAAGAGAGAGCGACGAGGAGAGGACGACGAGAGAGAGAGAAGTAGAGAGAGAGAAGAGAGAGCGAGAGGAGCAGAGAGACGAGCAGAGAGAGGAGAGAGAGCGAGCAGAGAAGGGAGAGGCAGGGAATACGACGAGAGAGGAGACGAGAGAGAGAGAGAGACCGAGAGAGACGAGAGTAGAACGAGAGAGAGAGAGAGAGAGAGAGAGAGAGAGAGAGGAGGAGCGGAGATGAGAGAGAGAGAGAGAGAGTTATGTTTATTGCTCGCTGCTACTACTGTTGTTGTTGCTTGGCTGCTGGCTGGCTGATGCTGCTGCTGCTGCTGCTGCTGTCTGTATATACTGTTATTGCTGGCTGCTACGGTACGTACTGCTGTTGCTGCTGGCTGCTGCTGCTGCTTGCACTGCTTGCTGGACTACTGTACTGCTGCTGCTGCTACTGCTGGGCTGTTGTTGGTTGCTGCTGCTGGCTACTTGCTACTGCTGCGGGCTACTGTTGCTGCGCTGCTACTTCTATATCTGCTGGCTCGTGCTACTGGGCTGCTGTACTGCAGTTGATGGCTGCTACTGCTGCTGCTGCTACTGCTGTTAGCTGCCGGCTTCGCTGCTGCTGCTGCTAGCTGCTGCTGGCTCAGCTACTTCTCCTGCTACTGGCTGCTGCTGCTGCTACGCTGTTACTGGCGCGGCTGCTCGCTGCTGTGCTGCTGGCTACTGAACTTACTACTACTACATACTGTTTAAGAATAGCTGAATGATAATTAACATATCTCTGCTGCAACCACAACAACGGAGTAGGACGGATTCGCGCGCCCGCCCTCCTTCGGCGCGCGAATTCGTATAGCGGGCAGCGCGAAATGCTACATACAACACACCGCGGTCGCGTGCGCCCAGTCCCGCGGAAGTGCGCGGTTTAACCGCTCTTGGCGGTCGGGGAACAACGCATCTTTTGCGCAACGCCATCTTGTACCCGGTCTCTCTGGATTGGCGAACTGATATTGGAGTTATTCTGTATCTTAAAGTTTAATTGTCTAACAGCTATGGAGTTGTCTTACAGCCAATATGATATATATATGTGTTCAGAAGTTGGCTTAAATTAGAGTTCAAAAGGTCTCTTAAAGCTAAGAAGTTTTCATAAAATTCTAAAGTTGTCGTAATGTAGATCCAAATATCGTCATAGAGGCGAGAAGTTACCGTAGACTTGAAAGTTTGCCATACATTTAAGAAGTTGTGTTGTACATATGAGAAGTAATCTCATAGTTAAAGGTTTCACAGATTCGAGAAGGTGTCGTCTTGCCGTAGTATTGGAGTGCTGTCTTATAGTTAAAAACTTTCCTTATAGTCAAAAAGTTGTCATAGATTAGAAAAGCTGTCTTATAGTTAAACAACTGTCTTAATTACTGTCCAGCATTTGTCTCACAGCTGAAAAGTATTCTTCTTACATTAAAGAAGCTTTATCAGAGTTAACTAGTTGTCGTAGACATAAGGTTGTTGTCCTTAAGCTAAAAAGTTGTCTAAAAAAATTGTAGTTACTATTAGAATTAAGATGTTGTCTTAGAGTTAACAGTTGTGTTGAAGTTAAAAAGTAGTCGTATAATTCAGAAGCTGTCTTAGGTTTTATAGTTTGGAAATTGTCTCACAGTTGAAAGGTATTCTTACAATTAAGAAATCTTGCATTTAATAAAGTTTTATCAGAGTTGATTGGTTGTATCAGACTTAAGATTGTTCTCTTTAAGCAAAAAGGTGTTTAACAACTATTAGTTACTATTCGAGTTAAAATGTTGTGTCCGAGTCAACACTTGTGGTAAAGTTAAAAAGAAGACGTAGGACTATAGAGATATCTTACAGTTAAGAAGCTGTCTTAGAATTAAAAACCCATATATTAGTAAGCACGGTGTCTTGAGGTTCAAACACGATATAAAACCGGGTTAAAAAGTTGTCTTCTATTTTTTAAATTGGTCCGGAGTAATGTACAGGTTAGTCGTAGAATTAAGATGTTGTCTTAGGACGTTATGACTTTGTCTTAGAGTAATGAACTGATATTAGAGTTTATATTGTGTCTTACAGTTTAGTTGTCTTCAAGTTATGAAGTTAACTTAGAGCTAAGAAGATATCATTGAGTTCAGAATTTGTCTTAAATTAGAGATTAGAATGTGCATTAAAACTATGATGTTCTGATAATTTTCTAAAGTTGTGGTAATGTAGAGCCAAGATGTCGTCACAGAAAACCTATATGTGAGTTAACACGGTGTCTTAGAGTTTAGCTGTCTAAAATTATGACAAGGTTGTGGAGTTGTCATGCAGCTCTGAAGTTGTCTTAAATTAGTGAGAAGGTGTCTTAGACCTATGAAGTTCTCATGAAATTCTAAAATTGTCCTAATGTATTATCAAGATTTCATAGAGTCGAGAGGTTGCGTTAGAGTTACAAAATTATCTTCGAGTTAAAAAGTTGTCTCATAGTTGAAAAGTATTATTATAATTATTCTTATGGAGAGGTTCTGGAGTTGTCATTGTCTTCTAGTTAACATGTTGTACGATATGTCCTTTTACGGATTTGTGTTACTATTAATTGACTTACTCCAAACTCGCGTGTGTAACCGTGTCAACATAAAACGTGTCATATATTTAATTGTTACAGAGGATAACGTGTTTGTAAATAGTGCCCACACACTTATTACAATGTTTCGTCACGTAAAGAATAGGAATGTATCTAGTCTAGTCTACATAGTCTAACTCGTATATTATTTCTATGAAAAATTGCAGGTAGTTATATATATTACGGCACGACATCAGGATGGTTTCGTTTTGTGTTTAAAGAAGATTTGTCCTGAAACGCTCTATACTCCAAAATCTATTGGATCCACTCACTTCCTTATCATCTAATTTGATATCATTGCCGCAAATTATAGCGTGCTCTCCTACTTGCCTCTCTACAGCAGGCTAACCAGACTTAGTTATCTTTGCTTTTTGTGTAATACTACCACAAACCAGCAGGTGGCGTTACATGCCAGCTTACACGCAACAATGTGGACAGCCCCTTTCATTACAACTTTTCTCACGTTTGTCCTTGATTGTAAATGTGTTGAAATTCCATGTAAGTGTGCAATATCTCCTTGACAGATTTTTTCGAATTATAAAGGTATTTTAAAATCATGAAGTTGTGTTAGAGTTAAGAAGTTGGATTAGTATTATAAAGGGTTTTTAAAGTTGTATTAGAATTATGAAGTTGTCTTAGAGTTACAAAGTTGTATTGTAGTTAAGAAGTTGTCTTGCAATTATAGAAGTTTATTAAATTAAGTTAGCAAGTTGTGTTCGAATTGTGAAGTTGTCTTAGAGTTACGAGGTTGAATTGTAGTTAAGTTTTCGTTGAATTATAAACGTGTTTTAAAGCTAAGAAGTTGCCTTAGAGTTACGAGGTTAATTTAATTGTGTTGTAGTTAAGTTAATTGTTGTTAAATTATAAACGCATTTTAAAGTTAGAAAGTTGTGTTAGAATTAAGAAATTGTGTTAAACTGGGTTTAGACTATGAAAAATGTAAAATCAGATATGTCCAAAGCATCGGCAAACGTTTCAACATTTGACCCGCAGTGTGCGCGCGGCGGGCGACGAGGATACGCACTCTTCACGTATTAATTCGCGACAGTGTGGCGCCGACAGCAAAAACATGTTTTTGCTGTTCTCTTAAGCCTAGCGCACACACCCGAGCAAAACGGGAAATTTTGTTTTCCAGCGTTTCGCGTTCTGCTCGGCGAGCAAGCGCACACACGCTACCCGACACAGCACACAGCTGAGCAAAACATACAGAAAAACTGCGTACAGCGCCTACGGGGCGCCATGCAGGACAGGGCTCAATTTTGTCTAACAAAACTCAATTCTGTCTCACAAAACTCATTTTTGTCAAGTTTATAGGTACAAAAATGCCTGTCCTGCATGGCGCCCCGTAGCGCCTCTGTCACATAACATAAAAAATAGTCATCCAATGAACATCCAATTTTGTGTGTCATGTGATATTTTTAAGGATATTGATTGGAGACCGTCTGTGGCGTTTCGCTGTGTAGCAGAACAATTGACGCACACACCCGAGCAAAACGTACGCTCAGGCGAAAACACGCTCCGCAAACGAGAATATATAGCAAGGAACAAGAAAACGAAGACGGTTTCAATATCAACAACGATGAATGAAACCCGATTTGACAACGACAGCAACCCGATAGGTAGTCAGGAGGATGGTGAAGATGGAAACGCTCTTAGCAACGTGTATTTCTACCAAACGCCAACGTTCGTTAAAGTGCTGATGGTATTGTTGTTTGCGACGGCCAGTGCAGTCACACTGGTGGGAAACGGTCTAGTGATTATCGTCATAGGAAAGATTCGCCGACTGCAAATACCAGCAAACCTCACGATTGTTAATTTGGCCTTATATGATTTCTTAATGGGACTCGTAGCAATCGCAGTCCTTCTTCCTCATCTAACAAGGCTTCGGTGCGTGTTTGTCGTGGTCTTCGGATCCAGTGTTCTTCGAGGGGGCGTGCTGGGCATCGGACTGTGCACGATCAACAGGTACGTGGCAATCGTACATCCGTTACGCTACAACCAGCTAATGACTGCGAAGCGCACCTGCATTCTCATGGGATTGTGCTTGCTGTACGCACTAGCCACTGGTATTGCCATAGGCATTGATGTAGCATATAGCTGGGGCCCGCTATCAACGTGCAATATCGACAAAGAGATCACGTCCGGTATAGTGGCCTTTCAGATCACCAACTATATTGCATTAGTTATCATCATGACTTACTGCTACATCATCATTGCCAAGATTGCTTGGGACCACACGGTAAGAATGGCGGCAGCAACAGCTGCTCAGAGAGAGGAATTGTCAACTTTCGATGCTATAATGAAGAAGTCAAAGATCATGCTTATAGTCGTCGGCACATCGTTTTTATTTATTATGCCGAACGTGATACACACACTGCTGGTCCACATCGTTGAAGCTTCCAAGCTTTCAGCGTCAGGGCTTCAAATACTTCGGTGGATTCGATTGCTTGGATTTATAATAAATACATGGCTGAATCCAATAATTTACTTCTACAAGTACAAAGACTTTCGTCAAGCCGCAAAAGAACTGTTTGGCTGCAAGCCATCCAGCATTGCACCGTTTCAACCGAGCATGGAGTAAAGCACGAATACAAGGTAGCACAGTATGTCTTCAAAGACAGACGGCCAATAACAGAATTTCAAATTTACAAGATAATCCGCCTCTTAAAACCATATGACGGTTCTTACCCAGTTTCATTTCATGACAAGTCGATGTAATTAACCTGAGAGTAACTGTTATTTTGACAAGTGATGTAGCGGTGTTTGTCAATTCCTCTGATAATCGCATAAAATATGACGACATTTAAACCGCCAAGAACCGCGGTAATAGTTTATTCTTAATTTAATTAGGTGTGTTGTATGGTGTTATTATATGGTATAATATAATAGTTATAACCGATGTTCTATTACAGACGAGCACGATTAATGTTTATACTATCACGGTTTGTGACGGATAGATGAGACCAGGAGNGAGAGAGAGAGAGAGAGAGAGAGGGAGAGAGAGAGAGAGAGAAAGAGAGAGAGTTATAAAGTTTTCATAAAGTTCTAAAATTGTAAAAACTGTAGAGTCAAGATACCGTTATAAAGCTGCATTATAGTTAAAATTTGTTTCAGATTTAAGAAGTTGTGTTATGCATGAGAAGTTGTCTTACAGTTAGAACAATTCAAGGTTTTTTTATAGTTAATAAGTTGCTTCATAGTTGAAAAGTATTCTTATAATTAAAAGTGTTACAGTTAAAGAAGTTGTATCAGAGTTAATTGGTTGCCTTAGAGTTAGGATTGCTGTCTAAAGTTAAGAAGTTGTCTTAAAGTTATGACGTTGTCTTCGAGTTCATTACTTGTCTTAGAGTTATGATTGTTGTCTTTGAGTAAAATGGTTGTCTCAAAATTTTGAAGTTTCTTTCAGAGGTAAGATGTTGTTTTAGTGTTGAGAGTTGTGTTTAAGTAAAAATGAAGTCGTAGGATTATGAAGCTGCCTTACAGTTACGAAGCTGTCGTGTGGTTAAAACCGATATATGAGTTAACACGGGGTCTTAGAGTTTAGCTGTCTAAAAGTTGTGAGGAGGCTGTGGAGTTGTCACAAAGTTCTCAAGTTGTCTTAAACAAGAGTTAAGAAGCTGCCCTAGTATTGAGAACTTAACTGAGAGTTCAGACGTAGAACCAGATTCATTAAGTTGTTCTGGAATGCAGCAGTTGTCTTGAATAAAGATGTTCTCTTAGAGTTAAAAAGTTGTCTTAGACATCTCATGTTGGCCCGGAGATAAGAATCTGTCGTAGAATTAATAAGTTGTCTTAGAGTTATGATGTTGTCTTAGAGTGACGAACTGATATTAGAGTTCATATTGTGTCCTAACGGTTAGTTGTCTAAAGGTTGTCTTGGAGCTAAGAATATATCTTTGTGTTCAGAAGTTGTCTTAGAAGTGATATGTTTCTTGAAATTATAAAAATGTCTTGGAATTATGAACTTGTATTAAAGTTAAAAAAAAATTCTTACAGTTAAAGAATTTAGTTGTATCGTAAAACGTATGCAAAGATCTTTTGTCTTAAAATGATGAAATTGTCGTGTCGTTAATTAAGTAATGATTTTAAAGTTAAAATGTTTTCCTAAATTTACAAAGTTGACTATGAGCTTATCTATATGAGATATACTGTTAATTGACAAACTGGTGTGTGTAACAATTCGTATAGAAAAGATGCCATTGATTTAAATGTATATGGAAATATATATGTATATAGCGGGGATAACACATCGCTGCCTGCCTCACGGGCGAAAGTTGTACTGAAACTATTATACTGTTTTAGAGTTGAGAAGTTTTAATAAGGTTCTAAAATTATCAAAAATATAGAGTCAAGATGTCGTCTTAAAGCTGCATTAGAGATAAAATTTGTCATAGATTTAAGAAGTTTTACGTGTTATGCATGAGAAGTTGTCATATACAGCCATGCAGGACAGGGCTCAATTCTGTCTTATAAAACTTACTTTTGTGCACAAAACTCAATTCTGTCTCACAAAAGTCAATTTTGTGAACACAAAACTCAATTCTGTCAATCCTGTCCCACAAAACTCAATTTTGTGAACACA